CTCCTTTGCAGAGACCTTCTATTTATAATGCAGAGGAGAAGATGACATTTCCAATGAAAGAAAATCAATAGGAAAATCCTGTTTGTACTTCAAACAGTGGTAGAGAATCATAAAACAGTATGAAAGTCATGTCTTACAAATAGAACACAATTTTCACATTCAGATTTTTATATTAAGATTTGTCACAAATGAGGTAGTAATCACATTTTGGTCTATGGCTTATATCAAAATAAATTTTGCTTATGTGGGATACAGTGATCAAAAGTTTTATTTTCCTCTGCTGGATACTACTTGACCTCATATCTTTTACAAAACTGTTCATGCTTTCTCTACTCAAATGAATACTAGCTTTTGTCCTAAGTCAGGTAACTATGTATGTGACTCTATGCCTATATTCCATTATACTACATTGGTCTATTTATATACACTTGTACCATTAGTAGTCTGTCTTAATTAGTACAGCACTATAGTAAGTCTTGGTATCTGGTAATATAATTCTTCCTGTTTCGTTTTTCAAAATCTCATCATTGTTGAATCAAGCTTTTAGAAGAAAATTACCTCATGACCAATGGCTTTGAGATAATTGAAAATTCTTAAATTTAGGATAAACACAAACACACACGCACACATGCACACACACACATCTATGTACATGCACAAAATGGATAAAATTTTGAAAATACTGAGAATGTCAAGTATGGGTAAGAATATGAAACTGGTCAAAGTATGAAGGTACAAATTGCTATAACTCTTATAGAAAAAATATTTGACGGGAAAAAAAGTCAATCTATGTATCATATCACCCAATGATTCCATTCTTGGGTATATATAAAAACAGTTAATAAAATATGAATCAAATGTTCATAGAAGTTTTATTAATAACAATTTTAAACTAAAAATAAGCCACGTGTTCATTCATAATAGAGTAAATAGGGGCCTCCCTGGTGGCCAAAGGGGTTAAGCACTGCACTATGAAGAAATCTGCAGCCTCTGCAGCACAAGTTCAATCCCTGGCCGGACAGGGAGCTACCCACATGGCAAGGCAGACCTCTCCTGTCTTGCCCGCTGCTTCTCTCAGCAGTGTACTTAGGTCAGTCTGCCTGTTTTGTTCCCCACTCTGTCTCTGGTGAATCCTCTCACCCCCCGCATCTCTGGCCTGTACCCCAGTTCTTGTATGCATAAATAAATAAATCTTTAAAAAAAATAATAGAGTAAGTAAAGTATACTGTCTCCTTATGCTAGAATACTACACAACTAGTAAGAAAAATAAACTTTTCCATGTGCAACATGGATGAATTCTATAGACATATTAAGTAAAAGAGGTAGATGCAAAATAAATATTTACTTATATTATTTCTGGTAAGAACTAATTGTGGTTATAGAAATCAGAATAGCTTTTACACTGGAGGTTACTAACTGAAAGGGGGACCAGGGATCTTCTTGGGTGCTAGAACTGTATCTTTACATTGTTTTTGATAGCGGTTATAAAGATATCCATATGCATACAAATTTATCAATCCGTATCCTTAAGATTCATGTACTTTACTAAATGTAAGCCATACTGCAGTAAATTTTTTTAAAATTAACAAATTCACTGAGGAAAAGAATATAAAAAAAGATTGAATATATATTCCTTGTACAGTCTATTCTTACGAATCTTTGACCAAGACAAGGAAGAAACTGTTCTCTAAGTACGTGCTGTCTGAGAAGGTTGTGGTCTAACAGTTTAATATAAGAGAACATGCCAGAGGGCAGTATTCAGTTGTCCTAAGTCTTCTCCCTCATTCTTGATCTTTTTTCTTAATAAATGTTAACTTTCAAATATTCATGTTCTGTTTATGTATTAATGGGAAATATAAACTGGAGCAGTAATGTAAGGAATATAAATTTAACTAGTGTCAAGTTTATAGTATTATTATATGAAAATATTTTAAGAGCATTGACTTAAGGTTACCTGTTGTGTATAAAATAATTATGATAATCGGAGACTGATGCCAATGTCAATGAGGTGACTCTTACTGCTTCTGTAATGTTTCTATTCAGAAGACCTCCCTTTACCCAAGGATATATACATTCAAGTATATATATCTGCAAGAATATATGCAAGCAAGTGTAATTCCCTGGTTAAAATGGCCTACTTGGTTCTAGATTTATTGCAAATATCTAGAATTCTTCAGGCAATGAAGAATCATTCAGACCATTCTGGAGGCTTGCCCCTGTTTCACACCCTGGGACTAATCCTGTCTTCATTCTTCAGTACACAAGCCTCAGCCTGGTATGAGAGTGTCTTTACATGGGCCCACTTACTTTTCCAACTTCTATTCAAACCCTGAGTTATGCTCTTTAATTCTAATCTCTATGTCTGCACCTTTGTCACTTCTGCTGGATTCACTGTTTACAAAAATCTCCGCCTACTGTCTGTCATTTTCCACTCCTTCAACCTCACCCACTGATTCTAACTATGAGGAGTATGAAGGTTCAGAAATCTATACTTTCATAATATACTTTTATGATATTTCAACAGGGATACTTTGATAATTACCTAAATTTAATCCTCATTTAATCCACATTCTGAAATGGTTAATATACTGCTATTGTCCAATTATCAATCTTTACTTTCAGGTTTTGACATAATTGTATGGATATTTGGACCTTGAGCAAAGGTTATTCTGTTTTCTTGACAGCCTCAATCCTTTGAAGTTTTAGGTTGTGTGTATACATTACACCTAGCTATTCGCAGTATTCTATCAAATACTTTATATGTATCTTATGATTTTTCCCCATTTATGATAGAAGATATTTTATTTATAAGTAAAATTCCAAGTTGTATTTATATATTTCAATAACATGAGAGATAGTATACATTTTCCAAAGTCTTCTATCAGAATTAATTACCATCTATTTGCAAAATATGATATACTTTCACTTTGGGTTATGAAGTCCAGTAAGCAGGAGGGGAATTCTGAAAAGAATAAGACAAGAGTTGGTTGTGTCATGCAGTCCTAGGAACTTGAGTGCCATCTGTATCTTTAACATTGCATTTTATTCTATATAAAGGAACTTGAGGCTCAGAGAACTGGAGGATTTATCAGTATTGTAGGTAATAGTAGAAACTAGGAAAAAACATTAATATTTTATCTCTAGGACTAGTATGAATCTTATATCATACCATATTGAGTTAAAATAGAATGTTATATGTATATCTGAAATACCATTTATGAAATAGACAATTATTTCAGCTTTATAAAAATAAATTCATCTATTGAGTATTTTTATATACCTACTGGGTATCAGGTACACTTATAAGTAAAATTAGATTTATATAATTATTAATGAAAAAAGTTCAAATATTTGAATCACTTTTTAATTCTGAAGATAAATAACTATGTTAATTCATTTTAAAAGTCCTAAAATTGGATATTTATAGTAAAATATTAATAATAAAATTACTTATAGAGAAAAAGAGCTTAAAATCAAACTTTGCCAAAAATCTAAAGAAAATTACCAGAATAATGTCCATAATGAATATAAAATAACAATACAAATACTAGAGAAAATAAGAGATAATATTTTATATAAATTATGTTTTCACATGCAAATTTAAGTACTGAATTTGTATATAAAATTGAAAATGTAATTTAAATTTTGTCAGTTTGTCAATGCCAACTAGTTAGTATATCAGCTAAGTTGGATATACCTATATTTTAAAATTTATTTTTAATAGTTTTTATGGTATACCTGAAGTACTTAGTGTATATCCATGGAAACATTTCAACAATCAAGACAAGTATCACCCAAAAAAGTTTTCCCTCAGAAAATGCAACACAGAATTTATAGACAGCCTCATAATGGGGACGTGCTTGAATAATAACACTTGGTTTATTATTACACATATATGCATATATATGCCTACCTAACATAAATTTTTATATTTGCATATTTTACATGTATGCATGTGTGTGTACGTATGTGTATATTTATATATAGTGGAGGTATAAATGTCAATGTGTATGAATACATAAGTCTATTACATTTCAGAAGCTCCTTTTTTATTTTATATTTTCTTCAATTAATTCATGGATTTTTTTAAGGATTACTGGATTTTTTGAAGACATGGTAAGAGAATGAGATGCATATTTTATCATCTATGTTATCATCTATATTTATCTATATCATCTGTATTTATCATTTATATTTATCATCTATATTTATCTATATGTTATCATCTATATTTTATCATACTATATTACGGTAAATGTTAGGACTCGAGGATATGTGACATTTAGAGGGAGAGAGAAGAAGGGAAAGAAAGATGAAAAAAGTGGTAAAAGACATTTTTTGGCATGTTTTCTCTAAAAGTAGTGATATACAGAATTCCTCTCACATTAAACTTGCTTGGCAGTGGGTGGGGGAAGCTTGAGAAAAATGACAAACCACATCTTGTATATTATTCTACACAGAGTGGTTAACCTGATCTGAGAAAGTTTCAGTTTTGTAAAATGAGAATCATACAGCTTTGTCTGCTTCCCATTCAGTAAGATGGATTCAGAAATAAACTTGGCAGGTGACGAAAAGAAGGTGCCAACCAAACTTAATAACCTTTACTTATAATGCTCTAGAATTAGTAAACATATCAAATAGAAATAAAGGGTGGCTTTATTAGATCTAATTTGGCTTGCTGATAATGACAGCCATTCTCAGCAGAGTAACCAGATAATTACAGAATATCTCTAAATCATATTTGCAGATTAGTACCAGGATCACACTTGTGCTCTGAAAGGTACAGTTAATTTAAATCTAATCTATTGTATCTTGTATTAATTTCCAATTATTACCTAAATAAATTATTATAAACTTAGTGTCTTAAAACAATACAAATATATTATCTTAAAATTCTGGAGATTCGACATTCAGGTGGATCTCAATGGGTTAAAATCGAGATGTCAATAAGGAGACTCCAGTGGAGAACCTGTTTATTTGTCCTATTTCCAGAAGTTGTCCATATTCTTTGGCTCATGGTACCTTTCTCATCATCCACAAAAATGCCATCCGCTTTCACATGTAAGTACCCTTGCCATTACATTGAGCTCACCAGGATAATCTCTCTATTTTAAAGTCTACTGTTAAGCAATTTGAATTTCATCTGCTACTTTAATTTTCCTTTGCCACAAAAGGTAACATATTCAAAAATTGCACGGATTAAGATATTAAATCTATTATTCTTCTAATTACAATTCGCTCTTCCTCTCTTGGTTCCAAAGATAATTGTATTAAAACTTGTTTTTTTTCCTTACAGATCTTCTGCAGAAAATGTATAGACTGTAAAACTGGTCCAAAAAAAGAAGAAAAAAAAAAGCTTATTATAAAACTTTCCACAAGTTGAAAATAATCTAAATTTATGTTTGTTTTTTTTTTCAGGGATGACAATGAAATACATCTTATCTTTGACTGTGATGGCTGGGTTCCTGCCTCTTTTGATTTTAAGTGTATGTAATGATTGCATGCTTCATAATGACTTTGCAGATAAGAATAAGTCCTAAACCTATAATAGAACTGACTTTGCAATAGAACTGACTTTTTTGACAAGTACTATTCTTATTCCCATATTACAGAGAAATTAACTAAAGCACAGGGGCATTAGATCACATGGCTAAGGTAAGATAAGAGGCAGTGGCAGAGCCAGAAGTAAACCCAAATGGTTTGGTTCCTTTTTCATTATAGCCCCACCGAATAATTCAAAAAAGCTGAGAGTGTAGGATGACAACTGCTTTCTTACAATCTATCCATACATTTTCCGTGGCTAAATGGGAAAATTACTGTTGTTGTTTTTCTTTTATTTTTTTTAACCAGAAAAGGTATTTCATCAATATGTCAATAGAGTTATCTGATTTGTGAGCACAGTGAGATTTTAATATATCAAAATTAAATATAAAATGAAAAGTACAAGGCAAAAAAGAGAAATGAGAGAAACTGTTAGCAATAGAATCAGTAAGAGATCTGAATTTGACTACTTCTTAAAAACAAAAAAATTCAATACTCACAAAACAATCAATGGTACAAGGAGTAAGTCCCTAACAGTTTATGATGACCCAATTATATCTAACTCTATATAACCTCAATGATAAAAGAAAATATTATATTATTTAATTTAATTAATATTATATTATTTTAATTATTATATTATTTTAATATATTATTTTAATTTAAAATATCTTCATGATGACCTAATAGCTTTGGTGTAGAAAATGAGTAATTCTTACATTTTCACATGCTAATAGAAGTCAAAAGTACAAGACAATATTGTAAATGAAAGAAATCCATGTGCATCAAGACCACAGAGGGACTGATTTGGTGTTTGGATCTTATCACTCACACCTTGTGCCTAAGAGAAACAGGTTGAGTTCTAGCCCATAACCTAATAATCTTCCAGTAAGCTGCAAGATGTTATTTTAAAGTTGTCTCCTTCCCTCTGATTCCTACCCCATAGTGGAATCTACACATTTCACAATAACAAAAGCTAAGTTGAAGTACAGTCACTATTCTAGAGTAAAAGGAGAAAGACCAACTGAGAAATTTACATTTGCCTTTAGGATCTAGTTAGTAGTAACCTGGTCTAGGCCACTTAACCCAAGTTCTGGGAGGTAAACTAACTCAATTGCCATGTGAAAGAATGAATCAGTTACCAGTTAACAGTCCAAATCAAAAAGAAGATAGTAGAATCCCTACCAATCAAGGGAACAAAGGCCTGATATCCACAAACTGACCAAGAGTAAAAAGGGAAAATATGAAAGGGCTGAAGGTATTGATAAAAATATCATATATGCATTCTACAGACAGGTAATTATGGGAAAATTTGCACATAATTTTATAGTTTTCTCTGGAAACTAAGAGTTAAAAATTTTAAGTGGTCTCCAGTAAGTCTTCTCACCCTCCCGTGCATCTGGCCTATACCCCGGTTCTTGTATGAAAATAAATAAATCTTAAAAAAAAATATTTAAGTGAAAATATGACTTGTATATTATTACACTGCCATTCAGAAATCCTTAAAACTATCATTAGAGAAATGGAAATTAATAAACTAATGTATCATACATTATAAAAGGCTATATAGATCATTGTTTATTCAAATAAACTATAAATTCTTATTTCCATAGGTTTGAAAATATATTATACATGACAAATTCTACTTGAAAGAAGTAAAACTAATAATTTTCTGGTAACAGGCAACACCACCTGGAGTTCAATATCATACACTACTCACTGAACTGGAAGCTGTCCAAAATGAAATTGTTGCTATGCATAACACCCTTAGGAGAAATGTAGTTCCACCAGCCAGTAACATGCTGAAGATGGTAAGATTAATGAAACAGCAACAACAATAATAACAACAATAGCCATGGTGTTTTCTGAGATTTTGTTATATTCTATTCATATTCAATATACTAAAAGTTTGGTACTCACAAACCAACCAATGAAATAGCAGAAGAATCAGACTCAGAGGAGGTAACTTCATCAAAGCACAGTGTTAGCAAGTGACAAAGCAATAGTTCCAGCTCCCTTCTTAATGTGCCCAGATCAGTGCCTCTCAAATGTGTATATACTTAACAATCATCTGAAGAATGTGGTAGAGCACAGAATCTTGGGCCCCACTCTCTGATCCTGATTTGGCATGGGTGAGATGAAGTGGCCCCAACATCCTGGGATAGCAAACTTTGTTTAACATTACATAGTTGTCTTCAATGGACAGTAGTCAGGGGAATAGATAATCTGAGAATTGAGGTATTCAGATTCTCAGCCAGTTAGTGTAATCAAACCCTCCAAAACTGTTTCCCTTTGAATATAGGCTAATGAGTCACTGAATACGTCTAATGGTTTAGAAAATTCATAAACCTGGGGGGTAGTTCCATGAAAGTTACAAAGACTGCAGCATATATACATACATATGCATGTGTGTTTGTGTGTGTGTATGTGTGTGTATAGAGAGAGAGATCTTCTTTGAGACCAGGAAAAATACTGAAAATCTAAGTTAGTTGTCATCAAATTATTCTAAGAATAGCTGAAAGATTTATGTTAAAGTCTTTGGTAAAAACAAACACCATCACCTTTGTTGACAATGTTTTACGTGCAGATATTAGGACAAGCTTCTAAGTAGATGTGTAGAATGTGAGGGTGAAAGAGTTAGGGAGAAATTTTGGGAAAAGTCTACAGCTAGTGATAATAGGCTTTTTGCTTTTCACCTTCTTCGGAGATAGATCTGTCAAAACCCTTCATATAATAGACTTAGCACACATTAAGAGATTAAGGCTAATCTAGATTCCCATTTTCTTTTTGGCACTGTTGCTTGTGTTATACTGAAAAATTATGAAATGTCTCTGTGCCTCAGTTTCTTCAATTATAAGTGATGATAGTATTTCCCTCGTAGAGTTGTTAGGAGTAGAAATGAAAGACTATAAATGCAGAGTTCGAAACAAATCCTGACATGTAACATTAGTTATTATTCCCTTTTCTGATTAATAATTTTAATGGAGGGGCCTCCCTGGTGGTGCACGTGGTTGAGTGCAGCACTGTGAATCTGTCCACAGCCTCTGAAGTGCCCGGTTCAATCCCAGCCGGCTGTGGAGATAGCAGACCTCTCCTTTCTTGCCCTCTGGTCCCCTCAGCAGTGTATTTCAGTCAGTCTGCCTGTTCTGTTCCCTACTCTGTCTCTGGTGAATCCTCTCACCCTTCCATGCATCTGGCCTGTAGCCCAGTTCTTGTATAAATAAATAAAAAATAAAAATAATAATTTTAATGGAGGTGTGTGTTCCTGTACTTGCTTCCTATCACAGTTAGCATCTATTTGTTGAGCATGCAACATTTTATAAATAAATCTTAACAAAAAAAAGAAACTGAGATGCAAAGGCATTAAATAATGTGTCTGACATAAAACTACTAACAAAGGATGGAAGGATTTGTACTCAGGTTACTCTACTGGAAACATTTACTTAAACTCTAACACTTCTGAGAGAGAGCTACATCTGAACATTATAATCAAAATTTTATTGTGTAAATTCAAGGTCTAATACAATAAATTGAAAGTGTGTACTTCCTCTTCCAATGACAATATTTGAGTATTATTATTTAAAATTGATAGCTTATATAACTGATGATATTTTGAACTTTGTATTTTTAAAAACAATTAGAATGTTATCATGGAATTGTTAGTATGATCACCTGTTTGTATTTTATGTGTCTATTGTAGAATTGGAGTGAAAAAGCTGCACAAAATGCCAGAATTTGGTCAAATAATTGTGAATTAAGAAAGAGCAATGCACTTAAGAGGCGAATTACAAGTAGGTATAAACCTATATGATCATTTTTTATGTTATGCTCAAAAGTCTTCAGGATAAGTTAAGTCATATTGTCTCTATTTTCATTTGACCCATAAATGCCCCATAAAAGGCAATGCATTGTGGCCCAGTACACCCTTCATTACTATGAATTTTTAATTTGTGTATTCAAATATTCAAATTCCAGATTCTGACCATTAGAGGAAAAGAATCAAAGCTCTCAATATTAGAGAATAATTGAGCAGTACAATGATAACTGGATGGATAGGTAGATTGCTAGAAGGTTTCCATTTTATATAATTACTACAGCTACCCACAATATCATTATAGGGATTTCTTTAGCTATGAAACACTAACACAGTTGAGAAATGAATTATATTTACTGAGCTTCCAATAGGAACAATTTAAGTGCATATGAACATTTTATGGTATTTAAATTAGGTTGATCACTGTTAGGTTCCAGAAAAGCCATTAGTATTTTCCATACAAGTAGATGTTAATAATATTTATGAGATACTTGTGTATTATAAAGTATGTTTAAAATACTAATGAAACTTCCATATTTACAGATTTGGGGGCATTTTTACCCACTACTACTGAGTGATGAATTAGCAAAGTGATTTTTCCCTGTACTAGAAAGGCAGATAACTCCTGAGTACTGTTTAACCAAGAGACCATATCATAAGTGGATCACTAAGTAACAAATACTTATTCCAAGACCCTTGCATGATGAACTCCTCTGTGCAACTATTTTCAAGTAACAATTTCTGTTGCAAGCTCATAGGCTATCCTGATTGGTTTCACTCCTCTCCACTAGCTTGGAATTGGCACCAACTGAAAAGCTGGTTGATATATCAAAACTTGCACATCATCTCCTATTGGTAGCTGCCACCAAACCTGAACATCCCAAGTTCATTCATCAGTGAGAAAGATTACCAGCAGATTACCTACTCTCATAAGACACTGACCATTGAAACATTTATACAATAGTTATGAAGAAGAATCCTTGTAAAATATTATCAGCTTTTATTAGAGTTTGAACTAACTCTTTTTCCTCCTTTCAGATACATTTTGTGGAGAAAATATTTATTTGACATCTCATCTTTACTCCTGGTCAAATGTAATTGGAATCTGGTACAATGAGTCTAAATATTTCAATTATGGTGACTGGTCATCAGTTGGTGGTGACGAAACTATTGACCATTACACTCAGGTAAACTGCACCCTGGCCTATACACATACACACACACACACACACACACATATATATACATATATATACACACACACATACAGATACACACACATATATATACACACACACTGATTAGTATATATTATACTAATATTATTAATATACTATTGATATTATTAATATACTATTGTTAATATAATATACTAATTTTATATATATATTAGTAGTATGATTATAAGCATGTATGAGAAATAGGTGATTAAGAACCATGGAAAAATCATTCTACAATTTTTTTTTTTCGTGGGACCCTCACCGGCGGCCGGGCAACGAACCAGCGCTGCAGAGGCTGCGAGCAGCCTTGCAAGCCAGTGCTCAACCGCTGCGCCACCAGGGGAGGCCCAACTCTTTTTTTTAAAGATTTATTTATTTATTTATATAAGCACTGGTACAGTCAGAAGCGTGGGAGGGTGAGAGAATTCATCAGAGCCAGAGCGGGGAGCAGAGCAGGCAGAAGGACCGAAGTACACTGCTGAGGGGAGCAGCGGGCGGCAGGAGAGGTCTGCGCGCCATGCGGGACCCTCCTCCGGTGGCCGGGGAGCAGCCGGGGATCAAACCGGCGCCGCGGAGGCTTTGGGTAGCTTCGCAACCCAGCGCTCAACCGCTGCGCCACCGGGGAGGCCCTAAATAAATAAATCTTTAAAAAAATAAAAAAGAATAATGATGCTGTGAGGGCTGGTGAAAAAAATTTGTTCATCCCCTGTTTTCAATTACTTGGCATAAAACCAGAGTGGAATTTCTGGATCAAGTGGTAATTCTATATTTAATTATTTGCAGAATTGGTATATTGTTTTCCACTACACTGTGCCATTTTATTTTCCCAGAAGCAATGCACAAAATTTCCACCTTCTTTAAGTACATTCTCATCCACACCATTCTGTTTGGCTTGGACTGCCAAAACAAAATACCAGAGGCTGGGCACATTAAACAACAGAATTTTATCTTCTGTCTAGTGTTATCTAGACAAATGGTAATCATTCTGTTTCTAAGACTGACAGTCCATGCTAAAAGCACCTTAAAAACCAGTGTGTTTATTCTCAAACATGGACAATAATATTCATATGTTAATCACCTAGCAAAATATAAAATAATTAATAAAATGACCTGTTTGTCTTTACAGATTGTTTGGGCCACTTCGTACCTCATTGGCTGTGGCATAGCATCATGCCATGAAAGAAAATCCACTCGATACTTCTATGTTTGCCATTATTGTCATGAGTATGTGTTACATCACTGATGTCACCTGAATTTTAGAAATGTTTCCCCCACATAGTCTTTTGTTTTAAACATTACAAAAGAAAATTTAAATATTTCATCTCAGTTAAGAAGAACTTTAGGGATATAACGTCATTTACCCAATAATTAAAACATTTTACATACACATCTTTTCCTTTAGATCAGATTTTTTATAAACTATATATAGCTCATTAATGGAAAGTTCAAATTCAGTAAAATTGTCAGTTGCTAAGTCCTGTTAACTCTTGAAGTGGGTATTAGTGAAAGGAAACAAACCAGAACTTTACTTCAATGATTCAAGCGTATTTCTAGAATTCAAGGCAGAAATGAAGTTGAGTATCAAGAATGAACACAGAAGGGGCCTCCCTGGTGGGGCAATGGGTTAAGCACCGCACTATGAAGCAATCCGCAGCCTCTGCAGCATGATTTTGATTCCCGGCCAGCCAGGGAGCAGCCCACAAGGCACAGTAAACCTCTCCTGACTCGTGTGGTGCTCCCCTCAGCAGTGTATTTCAGTCACTCTGCCTGTTCTGTTCCCTGTTCTGTCTCTGGTGAATCCTCTCACCCCCACACCTCTGGCCTGTACCACAGTTCTTATATGCATAAATAAATAAATCTTTAAAAAAAAAAAAGAATGAACACGGAAAAAGTCAAATATTCTTGTATTTAGCTTTTTAGTTGAGAAAAGTTGGTATATGACTTCTCTTTATAAATTAGATATACATATGATCAAAAGGGTGAATAAGAATTCCTAGAAGAGAAGAAATCTGTTTCGTCAATGATGGGCAGGTGTACTATTTTATCCCATTAATTGCTTATAGAGTAAGAATCAGCTTCAGACAAGGGAAACTGCAAGGGACCACAAGACCAACTTGTGTGGCTTCAGTTATGATTATCAGAATTAAGGATTGCTCTGAGTGGATAAAGCCCCCCAAAATGCTGACTGCAAATGTTAGTTTAAATATTACCCGGCTAAGGAAAGTTGATGACCAGTCTGCATATTACTAGTTCAGCTACATGTATTTACTTGTATATTACATGAGATTTTGTTCCTTAATATGAGCTCCATGCATGGTGTTTAACCGGTGTCTCCTATGTGGGTAACACAATAATGATGTTTGCTATGACTCAATAAAAATTATTTATCTGATAATATACTATCATATTTACACATTAAATAAAGCCTCTACTATCACTATAGACTTAATAGATATGTTCATGTAGTAGCTTATTGTGTATTATTTTCTGCTTTTATCATATCTTGGTTTCAGTAATTAATATTTGTCATGATTTTATTTTAGAAATTAGCTCTAAAGATAGTAAGTGCTCATGGAATGTATAGCATATCAGTTTTACTAAATATTTGCATGGACTAGTAGATTGTGGTGAATTTCTGACTGTTCTAAAGAAAAAAGTAGATCACATGGAACTGTCATACGAGAATTTTCTCAGTCACATGATGAGACCAAGTGCTTAGCAAAAAGCATTCCTGAATTAGTTGATATTTTTAATGAAAATTAAGCAATTGGGGCCTCCCCTGGTGGCACAGCGGTTGAGTGCTGGGCTGCGAAGCTGCCCACAGCCTCTGCAGTGCCATTTTGATCCCCGGCTGCCAGTGAGGGTCCCACATGGCGTGACAGGCCTCTCCTGCCACCCGCTGCTCCACTCAGCAGTGTATTTCGTCAGTCTGCCTGTTCTGTTCCCTGATCTGGCTCTGGTTAATTCTTTCACTCTCCCATGCTTGACTGTACCCAGTGTTTGTATAAATAAATAAATAAATCTTTTTAAAAAAGAAAAGAAAATTAAGCAATTGAGTTATCAAAGAAAAATAGCAAAGAAATTTTTTTCAACCAGAACATTTACTTTATTTTTAAATAATATTAAATATCAGCTTAATCTACATTGTTTTCTTAGTCATTTGCAGGTAAGACTTTCCCTCTCTCCCAACTCTCACACTTTAGGTTTAGGCACACTGACCCTTTTCAGTTTTTATACACTCCATGTATATAAAAAGACACTAACATCTATCAAGTTCTCATGACTTAGTACAAGATGGAAACAGGACATTTTTCAATTTGATTCATTTCTTTCTTCACATTGTTAAGAAACATGCCTTTTTACATGGCTCTTTGCTGAGTCTTTATTGTTATAAATAAATACAAATGTGCTATTGCAATTGGCTCTAAAGCCTTCCTATTAGAACTTGACAGTCCAAAGGTCCCACTTCTATTAGGACTTTAAAACACAAAAACGTACAACTTGCCTGAAAGTGTTCTTAAGACCCCAGAGTTGTCTGTTGTATACTCGATAAGATACTACCACTGTAAGTCTAAGAATATTAAATTGCCTAGAGATTATCATGGTTTTATATGTATTTTAAAACTTGTTTTTATATTTGATTTTTAAAATTTGTTTTCAAATTTGAATGTAAATAATAAGTAAAATTATATATGCACCTTCAAAACAAATTTAATGAGATCATCTATTTTTCCTCATTTCTTTTTTAAGGGGCAATGATCCTGACAAAATGAACGTACCTTACAATAATGGACCCCCATGTGGAGACTGTCCTAAAGACTGTGAAGATAAACTTTGTAGTAAGTTTTACATCTCAATTTGCTTAATGTTGACTGGTGATTTAGAAGTCTTGTGTCCTTTAAATCAAACTTTTAACATTATTGTACTTTCTACAAGTTTTTATTCAATCATCCTACAAGAAATCTCCCTACGTTATTTCTGATTAATCCTCCCCCATTTCCAGAGTAAACAAAAAGACCATTGATTAAATATATTGGAATGAAAATTAGAATTTTTAAATCTAAAAACTCAAGCTCCTACCCTAAAGCTTACAGTTCCTAAAAAGAGAACCTAGATAAAATGTTAATGTAAATATAAGTTCTTATATAAGAACTTATATAAGAAGTTATATAAGTTATATAAACTTCTCTGTGAGAAGTTTCTGGAATTCCTATTAGACACATTGCCCTCCAATTAGAAACACTGTCCAGTTTACTAGTTAACTCCCTTACCTGCCTGATCACTTAGGTTAACATGAACTGTTTTACTAAGTGATCCTTGTTCTTCCACATTTCCTGACACAGTAGAAGATATTAGTTGATGAACACACTGTCCCTTACAACATGTCTTTTTATTTCCTAAGTAAGTCTTACCTAAAATGTAATATTAACCAAATGCGTTCCAATTATATATTTATTCCTGTGTACCAGAAACCAATACAATGTTGTAAACATTTCCCTAATTAAAAAAAAAGTGTATCACATTCATATTCCTCCAAAATACTGCATAACAGAAGACACATATTTATGTGTATGTGTGCATGTTCATAGTGTAGAACCAAGTGAGAAAAATGTGTGAACCATTATTTGAGATGTCTTGGTAAGGAGACTGAGACTTTATTTGCTACTATAAATGTGGATTTTTACCTAATTTTTACATTGCCTTTGTATTAATTTTCTTCATTCAAAAAAATAAAGCTAGAAGACTCATACTTCCTGATTTCAAAACTTACCACGAAACTACAGTAATCAAAATAGTATGACACTGAGGGAAAAACTGACAGATGGACTGTGGTGGATGATTGTGTGTGCCTTGTTGGTATGTGTAGTAAGGTAACATGTATTTGAAGAGGTGTGAGCCTGTACCTCTGATCACACATAGTGTTGCATACCAGTGGGATCTCAATTAAAAAAAACTCATTTTTTAAAAAACTTTCTGTAAGAAAACATACAAATAATATTATTTAATAAGACAGATAAGTACCTATGGAATAGAAAACTCAGAAATAAACCTTCACATATATGTTGTATGTAACTATTAATAATTCAAGCAATGACTTATTAAATTATAAATCATTAAATACGTTAACTATAATAAATGAATGAGTTATATTTTATATTACATCATTTTCATATTATTACCTATATATGACATAATACATATTACATAATATAAATTATTATATTACTAAATTATTACATTTTATTATATTATTATAGTATAATTTAGTTTTTTATTACATGTAGTTTATGAAACTGATGATTTCAAAATAATGTTATAGTTCGTAATGATGAATCTCCAATATGCTTAGATATATTCCTATCAAAAAAGAGACTCAAGATTCAAGAAACCTGCTTAATATCATACCTGATTTAATCTTCTGTAATAATTTAGCTCATTACTTGCTTTCCATTCACAATTAGTTAGCCGTTGTTAATAAAATTTATGTTTTTAAGGTGATGATCTCTCTTCTCAGTGACTGACTTCTGAGGCAGTATTATATGACCATGCTTTTTTCTTTCAGCTAATCCCTGCCCCTACTATGATGAACAAAGGAACTGTAAAGCAAAAAAACGACTTCAGGGATGCAAGCACCCATCAGTTCAACAACTCTGCAAAGCTACCTGTCAGTGTGACACAGGGATAAAATAAACTTTGCTGTTTATAATTTTCCATTGGATTTAATTATTTACCTTGTTTTGCTTCAGATGGTCTGTTAAATTTTATTTTATTTATGCTTGGGATCCTAACAGTTACTAATCATATAGCATCAGATATCTACATCAACACCACACACTGTTGTCCAGATACATGCTGAAGCAACATTGTTTTAAAATATCCCCCCCACTACCACCATCTTTTATATCCCCGCCTCCTTTTCTTTTAGTCTCAAAGCTCTCACCTCAATTATTAACATCCACTAGTTTTTGTAGTTATTTTACTTTGTCAGATGGTCAACTATCTAAGTGTCCGGTATTTGTCATTATGACGTACTGTACTACACAGATTTCCCTTGAGTTCCCTCTATACTGCTGCAAATGGCTACATTTTATCTTTTCTTATAACTGAATAGTATTCCACAGCATACCATGATTTTTTTTTTTTATATTTTTAAAGGACAGGTTTATTGGGAAAAGGAGAAAGAAAGAAAGAAAGAAGGAAAGAAGGAAAGAAGGAAAGAAAGAGAGAGAGAGAGAGAGAGAGAGAGAGAGAGAGAGAGAGAGAGAGAGAGAGAAAGAAAGAAAGAAAGAAAGAAAGAAAGAAAGAAAGAAAGAAAGAAAGAAAGAAAGAAAGAAAGAAAGAAAGAAAGAAAGAAAGAAAGAAAGAAAGAAAGAAGAAAGAAAAAAGAAGAAAGAAAGAAAGAAAGAAAGAAAGAAAGAAAGAAAGAAAGAAAGAAAGAAAGAAAGAAAGAAGCACCTGCGTAGTCACAGGTGAGCAGGAGAGCTGCCTTCACGGTTTTGCAAAAGGAAAAGGTTTGTGAAAAGAAACACCTGCATAGTCACAGGCAGGCAAGAGAGCTGCATTTTCACACATTTTGATCCAATCATCTATTGACCATCTAGGGCTGCCTCCATATCCTTGCTATTACAAATAGCACTGCAATTAATACTATATAGCATACATTATTTTGCATAGTGTAGAGCATATATAATTTTTTATTGCTGGGGATAGTTTAACTACCTTTAACTATCTGTTTAACTTTCCCTGCTTTGTCACATCTCCAGTCACCCTGATGTTTCTCTATCCTGCACAACTAACGTGCACTAGTAATTCTTCCCTTTTTCATTTTATTTTATAATCAATCATTAAAACAAAACAAAGAGTACAGTCTCATTACTTGCAAGGTAAACATAACTTAATTGAAAGTGATTTGAAAGTCTCATTGCTTCATTGGCATACCTATTATACACGTGTCCTTATTTAACAAAATACATATTCAGTCCCAATTACAAACAAGGTGTAATTCACATGTAGAGGTATTGTCTTCCTCATCTCAAATGAATATGTCAATATTTGTGAATATGAATGAACATCAAAAGGAAACTGGGGCAGTGTATGGAAACACAGTTTTCAGTTTCAAGTTAATTTTTCATAAAGACGCTTTCTTTCTGAAAGACTATATAAAAGAAATTCCCTCAATGGCCATCATTGTCAGATCAGGTCTAAGAAAGGGGCAAGAGAAACCAATTTCACCTTGAGGATGAAATATGCTAAAATGTCCCCAAGAAAATATGACACAAATTATAGTGAAATATTTTGAATGCCCTGGGAACATAGCTTTGTAAACATTGTTTGTAAATGCCATAGGGTATTTATTCATAGAATGAAATCTCATGGTATGGTCCAAGATCACTGTCAGGAGGAGTTTATGATTTTACTCGGGAGCCTGAATGCACTGATGTACTCTTCCACAAAAAAAGAGTTGGAGAGAGAGAGAGAGAGAGAGAGAGAGAGAGAGTGTGTACATACATTAATGGACATCCAGAAGACCTGTGAAGCAAAGGTAGTACTGAGTATCACTGAGGACAAAAACCTGACTAGTTTGTCAGATTCATAGGGAAAGAATATGGGCACAAAAATAGATCTACATTTCAGGGAAAATTAAAGGAAGAAGTTAAACTGAATGACTTGAACTTGATACCATGAGTGGAGGTAACACACCTTTGATTCTCAATTATGAGAGCTCTACAACCAAAACTAGGGTTTCTGTAGAATTATAAGAGAGATAAATAATAGAATTGTCCAAGAGGTGCAGTCTGACAACTGGCCCACATTAGAGCTCAAGGTGAATTTCAGAATGAGCTCAGCATGTAAGCACTGTCACAGTTTTGCTTTCTCTGGCATGGAGGATTCCTCCATGTTCACTATTAAAGGTACAGAGATCCCAGGGAAGTTCTGGAATCAAACACCCTGACCACTGAGTGATAGGAGAATGTTGTATCTCCCCTAATTCCCTTAGATCTTTTTATGGGAAGGAGTCAAGTGAAACAGCACAGAAATTTCACTAATGTGAAGCCAATGGCTTCATGTACAAACGGAATGAAGAATTACTCAAAGCTGTGTGTTCTTTAGGGGGATTCCCAGGTGGCCTAGGGTTAAGGCTCAGCATTACCACCATGACAACCTAAGTTCTATCCCCAGCCAAGGAGCTAAACCATATGGCACAGCAGACCTCTCCTGTCTCACCCGCTACTCCTCTTAGCAGTAATTTCATTAAATACACCTGTTCTGCTCTCCACTCTGTCTCTTGTGAATACTCTCACCCCCACACAAGCCTCTGGCGTATACCCCAGTTCTTCTACACAAAAATAAATATTTTTTAAAAACCTTGTATGTTCTTTAAACAAAGACTGATTATCTCTGAGAGTCATGAAAATGATTTCATTGTGGTAAATCTCAACTGCTTTTAGGTTTCTGGCCTAAAGTTAGGGATCATAAAAATCATAACTCAATAGTTACTTGCTTGAGGTATTTACAATTTTGCAGAATACATAGCAAACGTTGTGCTATTGATGTGTCACTCAAACTCTTCAACAGTCTTCTGAGGTAGGATTCATTATATAATTTTATATATGAGGACACTGAGGTTACAAAAATACCCATAACTTCCTCATAGTCACACAGCAAGGACCACATAGAGAGCGCCTGCAGTAAGGAGAGCTTCCAAATCTCAAATGGAATAAAATAGCTTACCACTAGATGGAGCTGTCTGTCACAAGTTAATAAAAGTTATAAAAGATTCTTTTATAGAATCTATTTTATAGAAAATAGACAGGAAATATAGATTTTTTAATTCCTTTCTTATTCACTCCAATCATTTCATAAATAGGATTGTGTTCAGTTTAAACAGAATATATTGAGATATTTACTCCAAATTACAAAGAAGACATTGTGTTGTGATAATGTGAGTTACAATAAACATACATACTGTATTTTGTATATTACAATATTGCTCTTTTTCCCTTCCTGGAACAGAGCTCCTATAGCTCCTGGAATTTCCAGAGATTTTTTTATGTTAATGAGGCAACCTTAGGACAACACCAAAGGATGGAGTGGGGGACCCAACCATTTACTTAGAGGATTGGAACTTTCAGTCCCACCCCATGACCTGAGGACACCCCATCCCCACTATCTCTGCTGCCTCACACTGGACTTGGGTGCTGAACCCTTACCTGCCAAATGTATTTGCACACCTTTCATTTGGAATGCTACAGCCCAGGTCTGAGATGGTGAGAGGAGCTGGAAGTTGAATCTGTCAATCACAACTATAGAATGAAGGCTCAATAAAAACCCAGTAGGATTGGATTCAAAGAGCTTCTGGGTTCGTGAGCACATGGAGACTTGGGGAGAGTGGCACTCGCAGAGAGGTCCCCATACCTGTATATTGCTTCCATTTGGCTCTTCTTAGTTATAGTCTTTTATAATAAGCTTTTTACTAGTAAGTAAAAGTCCTCTGAGTCCTGTGAGTTGCTCTAGCAAATTAATCAAACCCAAAGAGGAGGTCCTTACAACTTACAATCTCTATAAGTGCAGGTAACAAACTGGGTTTACGACTGATTCTGAAGGGGTGGTGGCTGGCAGTCCTGTAGGACTGAGCCCTCTTACCCTGTGAAACGTGAAACTTCTCCAGGCAGAGAGTGTCAGGATAAAGTTGGATTGCAGGATCCTCAGTGGTGTCAAGACCTGCAGGGGTATGAAGAACCCACTCCCAGGGCCCCACTTTGGAACTGGGTGTACAATCTTTAGCTGCCAGACCACTCATATGTAAACTATTCACATGGAATGTTTTCACACTGTATAAAGATTGCAGATATACTAAGAAAATGCCTGCAATGCCTGCAAATTATAGAAGCAGCGACCACAAATTTAAAGAACAAGAGGATTGAAAACACAGCTGCCAGGAAGAGGTTTTAAATAAAGGAAAAAATGTTCAGGGTTAGGGCAAGAAAAACAAGAACCATTTGTTAAAGCCAGAAGCAAACACAAATACTCACTTGCAATGCTTAATCATGGATATATCACCCAAAAAAGGTGCCATATTGATATCAATCAGAGATAATATCTTAAAGGAACTCTTTAAAGAGATAGAACTGCAAATCTCACAGTGAATATTGCAGGTAGTTTGCTTAATAAGCAGACTCTGAGGTGGAGATTTATAAGCAGGTTGTTTATTGGGGAAAAAGCTTCAGATTTATACCTTCAAATAGGGTAGGAAGAGAAGATCCGGCACATGGAGAAGTCGAATTATGATTTAGTAATAACAGAGTTTTAATAGCCACCACAGGAAACTATTAAATGACATATATGATCTGTCATTGACAGTTTCCACATCTAACAATTCTTGGATGTGGACTGCCCTGGGAACAGATTGCTGGGGTAAATAAAGGCAATTCTTTTAAAGATTTATTTATTTATTCATACAAGAGCTGAGGTTCAGGCCAGAGGTGTGGAGGGTGAGAGGATTCACCAGAGACAGAGTGGGGAACAGCATAGTCAGGCTGATAGAAGTACACTGCTAAGGGGAGCAGTGGGCAAGACAGGAGAGGTCTGCTGCGCCATGTGGGTAGCTCCCTGGCTGGCCAGGGATCTAATTCGTGCTGCAGAGGCTGTGGATTGCTTCATAATTTAGATCTTAACCCCTTGCGCCACCA